TTGTGCAGCCTAAACCCTGAGAAAAGAAAGAGTATCAACGGGATGATAATGTTTCTCTGCATAGCTGGGTTTAGCCTCTGGCCTTGTCTCCATGTACTAATGGAGCAGAACGTTGTCTCCTAATCTTGTTTTTAGCTCAGTGCAGTGATGTGTATGGGCTTTATCTCCTCACTAACATGGATGAAACACTCCCTACCCACCCTGTCAAAACTTAATGGACACTCATGCACACACACACACGAATGCCCTATAAAGCCTAACCTTTCATTCTCACATACAAAAGACACTCCTCAATAACAATTAATCCTTCAACCACAACCACCAAAGCAGGGAGTGTGTTTTGGAAGAGGCGCCGGGAAGAAATGAAGCCTATTTTCACTGCATTTGCTGCTGTGAACGGGCTCAGATCCACTCATCCATGTGTGAACCTCCCCAATACTTCTGCCAGTGGTAGCTGTCATCACAATCACAAGCCACCTCGCAATAGACAAACTGTCTCTGTCCAGACGCCACAGTCAGCAGTTTTTGTTAGGATGTGTTCTGATTGTATGTAGATGAACTATTATGACCTGCTGAGCTTCCCTCTCTCTCTCTCTCATCGCAAAACTGAAAGACAATGACAAGTATAGGGAGGTTTTAGTTTAGTCTTTGGCAGTAATGGAAAGTAACTGAATATATTTAGACAAATACTTTGAGGTATTTCACTTGAGAACTTGTGTGACACTTTTTACTTTACTCCTCTCTTGTTTCAGATTAAACTGTGCACCCAAAACATCATTAGCTTATACAATATGATGCTTAAACTACCCAACAGTATATAAAGTGGTTACAATCAGCTTCACCCTGACCAGAAGCACAAGAAAATGCTACTTAAACATCAGTAATAATAGCCAAATATTATGTGTTACAGGTCCAGTATGTAGGATTTGGGGACATATATTGGCAGAAACAGTACATAATGTTCATAACTGTGGTTTCTTTGGTTTATAATCACCCAAAAATAAGACTCACTGTGTTCTTATTACCTTAGAGTGAGCTGTTTATAACCCCTTTAACACTGCCTCTTCAAGGCGGGGATTTAGCACCGGTATGCCGCCTCACTGTTCTGTATAAAAGGTACAATTGCAGAGTAGGGGTGCAGAGTTGTCTCGCCATCAAGCTGGCATCAGAGGTAGTAACAGCACCGAAATGACGTCTGTTAAAACGGTAAAGCCAGCAGGACAGGCAGCGTGGGTGTGACGTTTTTATATTATGCGTGCAGCCCACTGGGAGATTTAAAAAGGAGCTGATAGCAGTTAGCAGCTAACTCAAAGAAGAAGAACACAAACTGAGATAACAATGAGATCCAGGAGCTTCTTACCCTCCGAGCAGAGGACAAGATCAGCTGCCATATAACAGAGACGATAAGTAACTGTTGATGCCATGTTAATGCCACATTGTTACTGTTTAGAAGGTGCTGCTAACCACATCTTATTTGTCATGCTAGAGGTAGACGCTGTGGAGTTATATGTCATGCCCATTGCGACTCTTTTGCTTCAGCAATACTGGCATGCTGTCGGAAATCACACACTGCCGCTGTTGTGTGGTTCTGTACAAAAATGCAAAGGTGGCATGAGAAAGAGACTTCATCGCGGCTCGATAGTTCGATTGCTGTGTGACAAGGGCTAACATCTACTCAGGCAGGGAATCGCTAAAGGCCCCACGATACAATATTGTCACAATACTGTGGTGAAAAAAAAGTCATAATACATATTATGTATCATTACTTAAAAGAAAAACCCAAATCCCAATATGTAATACAGATTACACCAATGGATAACTAAATGGACCTACAGGGCAAAGGCCCAGGGGCCCAAAGTGTAAGGGGGCCCTCCTGTCCTTCATGTGCAAATTGTCACTCAACTGATCATGTACCAACCAGGAAGAGACTCAAAACAACCACAAAGACACAAAGCAACTAAAAAGAGACACAAAACGACCACAGAGAGACACAAAACAACAAATATAGAGGCAAAACCACCACAAAGTCTGTGTGTCTTGCTCCTGTATAGGAGAGGTGGTGGAGCTTTTTGCATATCTGTGCCTGGGGTCCACTGTCTTATAATTTGGCCATGCTAACACCATTCGTCCTTTATTAGAACCAGCAGTGCACTCGGAGGGCGCAGACCTCTGTCAAGGCCAACTGCCCCGTCCTGTAATGTTGTGTTTTTGTTTTATGATTCTTATTTAAAAATGAAAACGAAAAATAATTTGTGTATCTGCCTCGTGATTCAGATCATCTTCAATATGTATTGGATTTTCCTGGGCCCATGCTGCACCCTTTCACCGAGTTTCATAAAAAATTAAGCCAGTAAACAAACAGACTGAACCGAAAACATAACTGTAATAAGATTTCAAATCAGATATAATATTATGGAGAAGATAGTTCCATCCACACTAAAATAAGATTTAAATGTGAAATGTTTTCCCAACTTAAGTTCATGATCCCAGCTGTAGAAATGTTCCTGCTGCCAGGAAGAAATAGATCAAATCTTCATACTGTAAGAAAACTTTTCAAACATTTTTATGGTTACATCTTTTGTCTGTCATTGTTTTTGTTGGAAAGGATCATATACAGTTTAGTTTTATGACATGTCAGATTATTTCTAGATTTTTGGAGCGAGGAGAGTTCAGTTCAGATAGGCAGTAAGGGACGCCTCTCCCTCATCTTGACTCACGTTGTATATTTGACCTTATCTGACATTTCACTTTGACCTCAACTAGGTGGAAGCTTGTAACCAAATTATGCAGCGACTGGAAAGATTACATGTGTGTCTAATTAGACTCATTATGATATTTGGGCCATGCATGTGAAGCCATTAAAGACATGAGTCATCCTTGTCAGGACACGTCGAGATGGTTGAGATGTGGCCCCATTCTTTTCCACGAAACCCAGTTTTTCCCGTAAGCGCCCTGTCCTTCTCGCTCGGTTTAAACTAATTTGCATACACACTTAGACACACACAATGACACACTGCTATCTTTACTGGTAACAGGGAGTCATGAACAGTATCACCGAAACAAAGGAAGTAAAGAGAAGGAAAGAAAAGGAGGAGAGACAAAAGAACCAGGTTTCATTAGAAAGCGGAGGTCAAGCAGAAATAAATTAATAAAAACAAAGTCGAGGGGTGAAGGAGTGCAGCTCAGTAATCTCTCCCTCCTCATCAGTGCTTGTTATGGAGTCATTAGCAGGTCTTTCAGACCGTGACGCTACAACCTCCCTGAAGGGTACACACACACTTACACCCACATTACTGAGCTACATGAAGCCTCGGTCTACTTTTCAGTTCCCAAAGATGTTTTTTTCGACCCGAGCTGCCCCAAAATTACATGAAAACATTTCTTAAGTCAGATGGAAGTCGCTGCCAAACAGGAGGGTGAGCAAAAGGGAAGCAACACAATTTCCCCTTCGCCCCAGAGGAATTGTGGATGTAATTGTCTCTTATTAGACGTCTCGATATGGATGCACAGCATGTGAGTGTATTTCCTGGAGAAACTCTTCTCTTAGACTTTGCATGTGCTCGGTGTTACATAAGTACTTGTGTTACAGCTGCCAGAGCCAGCAGTCTGCGTGCCAAAACATTTTGGTTGCATTTTGGTCTCAGCTTCTTTCACTCCCCGTTTCCACAGTGTGTTTCCTTTCTTTCATTTTCTTTCGACAACTAACTTGAAGACAAAGATACAGTGTCTCCCCCTGGGGCGGTTACACTGCGGGAGTGAAAGCACGTTTTACTTTTGGGAAATGTGCACCGAATCCAGGACTAAATGGCAAAATATGGACAGAAAAGGTAAACAGATGCGACAAAAGGAACAAGCTGCTAGAAAACAAATAAGAAAAACAGAGAAAATAAGAAACTCATGCAGGAGGAAGCAGACTGCAAAATGAGTTGTTGCACTGAGAAATACTGCAGCACACTGTATGAGAGAAGTGCAGAGAGACTGATGGCACACTAGAGGACTACTAGTTTGTTTTAAAATGAATAAATGACGTGCATGAACTAAAAGGAGCAGGCAGATATCATTCATTCATTTATTTATTATCCGTAACCGCCTATCCTGTTAGGGGTTGTGGGGGGGCTGGAGCCTATCCCAGCTGACACTGGGCGACAGACAGGGTACACCCTGGACAGGTCACCAGACTATCACAGGGCTGACACATAGAGACAGACAACCATTCACACTCACATTCACACCTACGGACAATTTAGAGTCACCAGTAAACCTGCATGTCTTTGGACTGTTGGAGGAAGCTGGAGTACACGGAGTAAACCCTGGGTTCAAACTAGAAACCCTCTTGCTGTGAGGCGACAATGGTAACCACTGCGACCATGCCACCCCGGTGGATATCATCAGAGCAAAATCTGTTCTTCTTCTTAATTGTTATATAGTGATATTTGCAGAAGAACAGCAATATGTCTTATCTAAAGGTGTTCCATTCAGCAATTGATCTAATTTGGCTCATAAATTAACAGGCTTTTTTCACTTCTGTTGATGTTTTGTGCCATGATTGTCCTTAAGGGACACTGTAACAATGCAAAACTGATCACAAACTTGAAATTTGGCTCTTTTAATCTCTGTGAATGCTGTGAATCTGAGGACCCTTATGGACGAAAGGTATATAAAGAACTTACAGGGTAATCAAGGAATGGACACATAATGTTTTGGTAGCCAACAACCTGGTTGTATACATCCGAAGAACTTCTATAAAAATGAACTGCTTGGCAACCAGACCAGGCCTCTAATTGAGACAGGCCTGTATTTGTCAAAATGTATAGTCACACTGGGCTTTTAATTGTAGTTTTACGGTATATCATATCAGTTTGAAAGCCAGACAGCTCAGCACTTGATAGAATAATTAATCCAAGGATACCGACTAACAACGCTATAAACATCTTACATCGACAATTTTTGCTACAAGGCAGTAAAAATGTTTAATCATTGTTTTTATGTTTGTTCTGTAGGTGCGTAGCCAGGGTGTCACAGAGGAGCTGAAGTGCCTGAGTTTACTGAACGCTCTGGATAAGGACCAGGACATCCCCGACCAGCTGGCCCAGCTCTTCGGAGAGTCCTGCATCAAACTGGCCGAAGGCATCAAAGCATACATCTCCAAGGTAAGGAAAAAAATACTTAAAACTAGATTACTGAAATTCAGAGTAGGTACAGTACATTTATATCTGTTTTGGAGAAAGAAAACCTACTTGATTTCTATGGGTTTATGATGAAATCCCCCTTATTTTGTTGGTTATTTATAACTAACCTCCGTAAGAGTATTGGTATTGCTATTGGTAATCCAGTCTCCGGTAAAGTAGGTAGGTTATTCTGGGAGGAAACTCTCACACACACTCACACAAAGGGATTGCTCCTTTTCTAAACTAAAGTTTGGATTAAATACATTCATTTAAAGGTAGCTTTATTGAAGATGACAAAAATGATTGACAATATGTCAGATATCTGCATACATTACAAAGAGACGAAGGTAAAATAAACACATTACTGCCGAGCAAATACCAAACCAAACTTCTTTTTATCTCAACAGTGATAATTCAGACTATAATTTCTAATCCCTAAACGATATACTTTGGATATTAAATTAAGTGTGTACGGCCAGCTCTGCTGACCCCGGGTTAAGGAACAGATGGAGACTGGTTCTGGTGTGAAGGAATCTGCTCAGTTACACTGAGCTGAGAAACATGTGTGAGGACTGACGTAGAGCCGAACTCCTGGGGTGGGACTAATTGGGCATATTTGTCATCGTAATGGAGAAACCTTCAGTTTAGAGGGAGTAACACTCATCATATAAATACATACATACACAGAGCGGCACATGTGTTACATTACACAAACTCAGATGGGCTATTGAAAAGATACAGTGCCATTCTTATTATTAAAAACAGCCAATGTGCTAGTTTTAATAAGAATAGTATATAAATAGTAACAGTGTTTTTCACTCATATCAGTGGTGGAAGAAACTCTCTGGTACTTTACTTGGATACTGATCTAAGAATACAGTGTTCACAGCTCCACCTTTTAGTGCCAGATCTGTGTGCTAGGTACACCAACAGAGGAGTTAACAACACTGGGGACAGTAGGGAACGGTTCTATTGGTACCATCCACAACTTCTCACAGTGTACCAAGTAAAGGAAGGAAGAAGCAGAAAATGGGAATGCTCCAGTACAAGTATTTTAGAATTGTAGTGCAGTACTTGAGTAAATCCACCACTTTCCAATCCTAACTTTATGGCCTGTCATTTCATTCTAGCCATGACCCTTAGTGTACCATCGAGACACCACTTAATGAAACACGTAATACATCAGTATTAGTGAGCATTAATCATATGAATGTGTATCTGTCCTAGGAAATTGGGATATATGATGGATTGGGTGGAAGAGAAATGTTATTAGTACAAAAAATGTGAGAGCTACAAGACGGACACCTCATTTTTCTCCACTTGTACACAGCACTGTTGACCTCAGCCAGCTGCTCACACCTATTTACTGCGGACAGATGTTTACAGTTAACAGCCCGACTTGCTGAACATTAGCGATAGAAATTTGCAAATTTGTGAAAAATCTGGGTTATTGATGGCTCTGTAGCCTCGCCTGACCTTTGACCCAGCAGCCTGTGAGGGTCTGTGCATGTGTGAGCACTTTCTGGCCGTCAGCAGGCACAAAATACATCAGTAATTAATGAGAAGAAGTAACCTCAGACCTCAGAGCATAAAAAAACACTGAGCTTGTTTCGCTACATGTTTACATTTATGTGCTCTGACTTGTGTATTTCATGAGTCATTACTCGAGACAGGTTTCTGCCCTGGGGTGCTTTTAGGCACACACACTGAGATTGGGATATACTCTTCTAGTTGTGTGTGCGTGTGTGTGTTTACAAGCTGTTGTGTGCATGCCAGGTGTTTGGGTTGAACCCGCTTGACATTTACCAGCTTTATCTGTAAAGCTGATGCTTGGTAAGCTGTGCCAGACCCAGTCAGAAACAGTTCAGATAAAGGTGGACGCCCATTTTACAGATGGCACTGAGTCATTGCAGGATTACGAGAAACTCCAGTGTTAGCTACCATGCCATGTTCTGAGTAAGTTGTCTTTGAACCACTTGAAACTTTGAATACACTCTCTCAATTGTCATGTCTGCGTGTGTCAGATTTAGCTGAGTAATGACTACAAGGAGGAGGTTCACCACAAATTGGAGATGTTTTTAAGTACTTTAAAGGAATACTTCGCCCCCCAAGATGACCATTTATATGTCAGTGAATCACCCCATGTTATGTTGAATTTGTGAAGACTTTGTTTTTGTCGCATGGCTCCACCGTGAACGAAGAATCCAAAAACTGAGAAAATTTTCCATCCATTGAAACATATTTATGCTCTCCTCAAAGCCAGACTCCATTGACAAAAACAGTAATTTTACCTCACTGAACACTGGAGCTGCTGGTCTACAACTGCCTTTATCCGTAGTTTGTTTGTGTTATTGTTTGACTTTGCTGAATCTGAACTAACCCCTTAAAATACTAAAGTCACACAAAAACTCAAACAAACTAAATGATTGAAACTGCAGTAGACCAGCATCTCCAGTGTTCAGTGAGGTAAAATTACTGTTTTTGTCGATGGAGTCTGGCTTTGAGGAGAGGGTAGATAAGTTTGAAAGGGCTGTCTGCTGATCTGTGTAACAGAGACACAGCCAAAGAAAGCATTACTCACAATGACAATGTGGAAAGGGTTACCTCTTACAAATATTTAGGTACCTTTTTTGATGAACATCTTAAATTTGATGTAGATACTGTAGATATTGTGAGGCAAGGGCATCAGAGAATTCACATCTGTAAACTAAATTCCCTTTCCATCAGTCCCGTCTGACAGAAACGGTCAAAAATGGTCTAAAAAGCATTATTAAAATCTGCTCTAAAATCACAGGAGTGACACAACATGACTTGACCAGTTTTTGCAGTCAGCAAATCCTAGAAAGCCACACGAATTTTGGCCTCTTTTGGACATGTTCTTGCAAGCGAATTTTCTCTGTTGCTGTCAGGGCGTTGTTGTATTTCACCTGCTTGTAAAATTAACAAGTAATCAAAATCTTTTTTTTTTTTTACCTTTATCTTTTAAATTCTCTGTAATTATTTTTTATAATTCTTTATTATTCTACTACATGTTTTTTTTTTTATCTTTTTTTCAAATCAAATCAAATCACATCAACTTTATTTATATGGCACTTTTCATACAACAGTAACACAAAGTGCCTCACAGAGGTTAAAAACAACAAAGATCCAAAACAGAAAACAAAAAGAAAAGAGAAAACCCAACCCTCCCACCCCACATAGAGATACGTAAATATGTCTAAATAATTTTATTGATAATCTGTCTGTACCTTTTTTATTACTATTATTTTTATTAATATTATAGATTCCTTTATTCCACTGAACTCCTTGGCATATTTTTTATTCTTTGATTTTTATTTATTACTGTCTATGTGTCTATATGTTACTGTACGTTATAGTATGTGTGCAAGGCAAGCTGTTCTATCAAATTGCCCCTGGTGGGATTAATAAAGTTGTCTGAATCTGTTTGGGAAGTATTAAGGGTTAGACGAATAAATGAGACGTGGATTATACTGCATAAGTTGTGTGAGAGTTTGTAAACAGATGTTTTGATATAGTTTTGCTGTTGTTAAACATGGTCAACTATGAATTCAGTTCATCAAGACCTTTCTCAGTTTTTGGATTCTTCGTTCACCGTGGAGCCATGTGAGAAAAACACAGATTTCTCCACAAATTCACTGTAACATGGAGTGAATAATTGTAAAAATGGTCATTTGGGGGTGAAATATTCCTTTAACTGCACCCATGAGCTGTATCACAGCAGTTCCAAGAGCGAACCAAAACAGTGACTGACTTCATTTTGTTTTTACAGCACCAGCATACATTTCCCTCACACCTCATACAGTATCTCTGCCTCACCTCTCTCTCGCTCAGTAAGGCCCAAACAACCACAGATATCTGGTTGAAAATTGAGCAGGACACTGAACAAGTGTGTGTTTGTGTTGGGGGAAAAACATGACCAATTTGGACAAAAGTGTGAATATAATATCTTTGTGTTGAAACACTCAAGCCCCAGGGCGCCTCTCCATCTGTTCAGCTTCATAACCACCTGGTATCACTTGGCAGTGATAAGCAGGATCTGATCAGACATGTGAATTGTTTTGTACCAAGGCAGGACTTTATATCTCATATTGCATATAAAGATGTGTTTTTACACACAAAAATAAATAGCTTGTGTATATGTGGTTGTCTCTGGGCTGAACGTGTGTCACATGGCTTGAGAAATGCTCACACAAACATACAAACTAAAACTAATTAAACACAAGTAAGTCACGTTACTTCTGCCCACACACTCCTGCAGTGAGTAAACAGATTTACACGGATTAAGGTCACACTCCGCTCAGTGCATATGTTGGATGAATCAGCATGAAAATACCAGTGACTCCAGGAGGCTGTGGTTCAAGAATCCCCCTGTTGCACAGTCACACACCCACACACACACACATTCACAAGCCCACTGAATCACTCCATTGATATAAGTCATCTTCTTGCAGACATTGCCAAGAGGACTTTTCCCGCTTAGTCTGAATGTCTGGACGCTTACAGCAGTATATCGTCAGCCCCCTCATTTCCTTCACAAACCACCACACGTCTGTCTTTGTTTAAACATCTCGTCCTCTTTTCTTCGAGTCCATCTCTCTTTCTGACTTAGTTTTCTCTTCCCCCAGTCTTTTTTTCCTTTACCCCTCACCTCCTCACCCCTCTCTGTCTCTCTCTGCTCTACTTGTGTGATACAATCGGAGAGCTGCTGCATGCCCCTGTGGTCCTCAGTGGACAGGAACACGAACGTCTCGTTTTCCTCCAGTGAATGCACTCGCTGGTGACACACCGTCCAAACAAATTTGCATCCAATTACTTTTTTCCAAACATTCACACATGCGGTATTATCAAGCTCATCCAAATCTCATTCATTTCCATGTCAGCACCTTGGTTTTTTTTTCTTTTTCCAACTAATGCTGCTTGAAAAAGAGAAGGCAAAAAGACAAACCACCCTTACACGAGAC